CTTGAAGAGTCCAGAGAGAAGTGACCTCCAGCCACTTCCCAGAAGCTTCTGCTGGAGTGCTGGTGCTTACATGCCCAGAGAAGCTGTGGCTGCCCCCCCCATGGAAGTGTTCAAGGGCGTGCTGGACTGGGTTTGGAGCAGCCTGGGACAGTGGAAGGTGTCCCTGCCCATGGCAGCAGGTGGAATGAGATGAGCTTTAAGGTTCCTTCCAGTCCAAACCATCCTGGGATTCTCTGAACGAGTGCTCTCCTTCCTGCAGCATGGAGGAGTGTGAGGCACTGTGCACACGATTGGCCATCATGGTGAATGGGCAGTTCAAGTGCCTGGGCAGCCCGCAGCATCTCAAAAGCAAGTTTGGTAGTGGATACACATTGCTGGCCAAAACCCGGAGTGAGGAGGAGGGTGAGCTGCAGGCCTTCAAGGCCTTCGTGGAGAAGACTTTCCCAGGTACTGTGAGCTGCTGGAGCAGCTGCCCCCGGAGCAGGGGCAGGGGGTGAACTTCAGCACATTCCCTGACACAGAGCCTCTCCCTGCTCCATTCCCCAGGCAGTGTCCTGAAGCACGAGCACCAGGGAATGGTGCATTACCACTTGACCAACAAGAACCTCAGCTGGGCACAGGTAAGGGGGCACTGGGCACCTTTCCCCTGCCCCTTCCCGTGTTCTCAGTGCTTCACTTTCTGTGTGCATCCTCCCCACGCCATGTTCTGCTGTGGGAACGTGGCACCACGGGTGGGAACAGCTTCCCTGTGCTGGCATCTCCCTGCTCCTGCCCCTCAGCCCCAGGAGCCCCCTGGCAGTGGCTTTAGGTGGTGCCACATGGGCACAGTGTGGTCCCACTGGGGCTGTGGGCAGTTCCTTTCCCCAGCTGCTGATCCTGAGGGGTCCCAGCCCAGGGACACTGCTAAAAACCCACAGCACAGATACAGTGTGTAACCCTCTGCATACAGTACAGAGAGTTATGTATAGAGTATACACAGTATATTCTCTGTATATACTGTCTATATGTACATTATCTATAATATGTAAATACCTGTATGCTATACAGAGATAGTCACAGCATACAGATAGTTTTCATATGCAGTATCTAAGGTTATATATATATTTGATATATATTTGTATATTATATGCACTGGATGTAGTGTATATAATACTGGATGTTGTATATGTACAATATATACTATATTATATCCTCTATAAGGTATATGATAATACTCTACAGATTATGTACTCTGGAGTATATACTCTATATCAAGTATATAGTATAGTCTATAGAGTATATAGAGTGTGTAGTATACAGATTATATAAAAGCTATGTATAGGATTACATAACAACTGGAGAGAGTGGGTTTATAAATATGTATATTATATGTAGCTCAATATAAAATGTGTGTATGCTAAATACAGATAGTTATGTGTCATGTATATAGTATCCTATATAATTATTTCTATATTATATATGTATTTTATATATATAATGTGTTAGCAGAAACCTTGGGCAGGGATTCAAACCCAGATATGTGTGTGTATATGTATAAATACAGATATACATATATATATATATGTAATTGTATATATGTATATACGTATGCATTTATCACATATAAATGTGCAAAGCAATCATATCCACAGCATATATTTTTAAATGGTGTCAGATACTCCTGGCTTCCCCCACTCTCCTGCCAGGGAAGGTGTAATTTTCCTGGGTCTCCCAAGAGATAAAAGCTTTCTCTGCTTTCCCTGCTGGAGGCTCCCCATCACATCGTGGTGTTCCCTGGCACAGCCTGGAGGTTCCTCTGTCACAGCCTGGGGTTCCCCCAGGGGTCCTGGGTGTCCCCCCACACCAAGTCACGCTGCCCTCATGTCCCTGCCCTCCCTTGCAGGTCTTTGGGGCCCTGGAGAAAGCCAAAGAGAAGTATCGCTTGGAAGACTACTCGGTGAGCCAGATCTCCCTGGAGCAGGTCTTCATGAGCTTCACTCGCTTCCAGCACTACACAGAGGACAGAGGGAAATGAGCCCTTCTGGTGCCCTTCGTCACGGACTGGCCCTCAGCCTATACATAGTATATATAGAGACAGTAATTTATATATCAGCGTGTCTTAAATACTGTATAAATGTAAAACTTTTCACCAGGGAGGGGTGAGAGGATGGCAACGCTCCTGCTGCTGTCCCCGGCTCTGGGCGTGCGTGGGTGTGCGTGTGTGGCACTGCCACTCTCCAGCCTCCATCCATCCATCCAGCAAAAACATCTGCCCAGAAGGCCAGGAGGAGCCTGGATGGGTGGAGAGGGGTGTTGGACTTGGGCTGGCAGAGGAGGAGGGGGATGCCCTCTGCTCCCCCCTTCCCTGCCTGTCGCTCTCACCCAGCGGGAGGCTGCCTGTGCTCCTCACCCGCATGTCCGTGTGTTATTTGGTGATTGCTCGTGGTTTAGCCAGAGGCTGTCACAAGATCCAAACCGTCCCTGGGGTCAGCAGGATGAGCTGGGATTGCCCATGGGAGCAATAGGAAAGAGGAGGCTCTGTCTCCTTTAAGTGCTTGGGAAAACTTCTCCTGCTTGCCAAGCCTGGCCCGAGGAGCTGGCACTGGCCCCAGCTGTGCAAGGGGAGCTCTGTGGTGCCAGAAACTGGCACTGGGTGAGAGGTAGGACATGGTGCTGGAGCAATGCCCAGAGCTCAGCCCCAGGAACAGCACATGATGGGCATGGCTGGGGAGCCAGAGCTGGAGGCAGCGAGAGGTGCCCAGGGACACTGCTGGGACAGGTGAGAGGTGCTGCAGGGTCTTGGCTGTGCTCTGTGGGATGGGTGTGAAGTGTCGTGGGGTGCCCAGGGACGCTGCTGGCCTCAGTGTTGTGCCCATGCAGGGGTTCTGCCAGCAGCACCACCCCACACTGTGCAGTGCACCACGGGACCAGTTTAAAGCCAGCGATGCACTTACTGTGCCCATGCTGAGCTCACCCCTTACACCCCACACAGCTCCAGCCAGACCATATCTGTCCTGCATCCTCATGCCCATCCCCTCCGCCCCTCACCAGGCTGTGCCAGCAGCAGGCAGGGAGCAAAGGCCCTGTCCTGCCCCTGTCTGGGTCCAATTGGAGGAGGCAACTTCTTTTAGGAGTTTCCCAGTGGCTGAGTTGGGGGTTTTTTGTTTGTTTGTTGGAAATCTGTGTTGATTCTTGTCTGTCCTTAATTAGTCCCTGTGTCACCTGGGGCAGCCCCTTGGGTGCTGCCCCATGATCAATGCAGAGCTATTTGCACTATAGTACTACACACAATTGCACATAACTAATTAATATTTATGGCAAGGGGGGCTGATTCCCTCACAGTGATTGCATTGTCAGGGGTTGGGTTATATTTTTGGGTTGGGTTTTAATTTTTTCCCTTGTGACTAATTCTTTCCTGTTCCATTTCTTCCCTTTGCCTAATGTTGTTGTTCAGAACGATGGTGCATCATGTTACTAAGAATTTCCCCAGAGCTTAAAGATGTGTGTTTTTATTAGTTAGCAGCCAGCAGGTGAATGGCCTCCCTGGGCACCTCAGAGCCCTTTGGAGTTGCTGGCAGGGAGGGATTGCACTCTGTGAGCATTCTGGTGGGCAGCAGAGCCAGCCACTGCCAGGGCACCATGCAGGGGGGAATCCCAGCACCAGTGACTTTAACTGTGAGGGGAGAAAGAGGGGGGATGCTTTTTTCTGGGAGAGTGGCTGAAGTGCTGAAACTCCCAGTAACTGTTTTCTGGAAAGGGAAGTACAGCAGAATGTAGGAGAACCCCTCAGGCTTTGCCTGGGATAGGGAAAAGGGGGAATGTGGAGGTTTCAAGGGCTGAGATGCAAAATTGCCACGGGCTGGCAGTGCCCTGAACACAGCAGCAAGAGTCCATGTCCTGTTGGCTCAGATGCCCCCTGCAAGGCTTGGTGCTGGGGTGGGGACATGGAGCCCCCACACTGCCCCTGATGCCATGGTAGAGCTGCTGGGAGAATCCAGGGCAAGGATGACATCCCTTGGCCCCAGCCCTCCATCATTCTGGGGCACCCTCACCTAAATGAAGGAAGTGTTATGGAAGCAGCATTTCCCTGTCCTGGGGGGCTGTAACACCCTGCCTGTCAGTGAGGCAGGCACTGCAGGCTGTGCATGGTGCTGCTCCTGATTTCAGTCACAGCCACAGTGCAAGGTGTGCCAGCCCAGGGCAGGGAGCAGGACCAGGAGTGCTCTGTGGGCAGGTGCTGCTGGGGGCAGCTGTTGCTGGCACTGCTCTGGCCTCCCAGGTGGGAGAAACAACACAGCTCCTGGGCAGCTCCTACTCCCCCCTGGCTGCTGTGTGGTTGTTATCCCCATCATAGGAATAATAAAGATGATTTTTTTTCCAGTGGGTGTTTCCTGGCCTCCTTTGGAATCGGACTCTATTCAGCCTGTGCTGGTCTCCAGCTCAGCTTGGGGAGAAGGACATGGGGGTAGAGTGGTGTCCTACAGAAGCAGAACTGGAAGGGCACAGTCTGGCTTGGAAAAGCCCATCAGCTGAGGAGTTTTTTTGCAGAAGCACAAGTTGGGGTCCCCATGCTTTCTACCTGAGGCAGCCACAACTATCCTCACAGGTCAGGAAGAGACTTCAAGCCTGGTGCTCAAAATGCCTTTTGGCCTCCAGGGCAGTGGGGAGCTGGCTCTGGCACTCCCATTCCTGCAGCTTTGCCCACCTCCATGCTGCAGCCCAGCTCTGGAGCACAACCAGGGTACTCAGCCCCCTGCAGATGCCCATGCACCCCCCACCCCCCC